GAAGGATCTTGGAATTGCTGTAGATCACAAGCTGAATATGAGCCAATAGTGAAATTTGTCTGCAAAAAAAAGGCAAATGCTAGTTTAGGCATACAGTATGTCTAAGTATAGTCCCTGCATCCTGTGAAGTACTAGCTACCCACTATTCAGCACTGCTTAGTCCTCATTTTGAGTGTTATGTCCACTGCACTTTAAGAAGGAGATGATCATGAGTCTGGAAACCAAGCCCAAGGAAGGACTTAAAGAACTGGGCATGTGTAGTCTTGAGAAAAGAAGAGTGCGGGGAGATATAAAATACCTTTTCAAATACTTGAAAGGTAGCCATCCAGAGGATGGGCAGGATCTGTTCTCAATCATCCAAGTGCAAAGCACATAATAGTCTAAACTTACAGGAAGCCAGATTTTCACTGAATATCAAGAAAAACTCTTTTAGTTTTTACAACCTCTTGCGCTGCCTGTAGAGTTTGTGTCTGGGAGAGATCTTTCTGGGCTGGGGTGACTGTCAATCTATCTAGCACTAACCAATCATTCCTTTCCTGCCTCTGAATTCAAAAATAACCCCCACCTTTCTGCTCAGTGTTGTTTTCCCTCTCCCTAGTAGTCTGTTGAGATCTGTTGGTGAAAGCAGTCACGTTTGTCAATTTGCTGTTTCATCTGTTGATCTATAAATAATGAAACCTTTTATTATTTCTCCTATTAATTTCTCAGAGTGAGTTATTGAGACTATAAGTGCCAGTTAGTGAGAAAACAGGATAGACTACTCTTGGGAACTTGAAGCTATTCTGCTCTGTGAATCCCTGTACTTCTGCTGCACAGCTGGAGGACTTTAACCAAAAATTCAAAACTCTGCGACAAAAACTTCCTAACTGTCAGAACAGTATGACAATAGAGCTACTTATCATGGGAAGTGGTGAGTGTTCCAAGGCTGGAGGCATTCAAAAGAAAATTAGACAACTGTCAGATATCCTTTGATTTGGATTCCTGCATTGAGCAAGGGGTTGGACTCGATGGCCTTATAGCTCCCTTCCAACCACATTATTCTATGTTTCTATGTCCTACCTCTCTCTCTCTCTCTCTCTCTCTCTCTCTCTCTGTATGTGTGCACGTGGAACTGTTGCAAACTATTACTATTTTAATAGCCTACCTCATTCTTTACTCTCTGGGAGAAGTTATACAATTATAGAAATCCATCTTAGATTTTCGGGGGGGGGCACAATCTTAAATAACCACACAGGTACATTTTAGAGACCAAACATTCCATCAGGATGAGCCCTTCAAGGAGAAAGATGTACAGTTTAATGACAAGGAAGAAACCTTACTTGAATAGGTTTCTGTGTTCTTCAGACGTTGCTCATTTACATTGTGAAACAAAGGTTCAGATGCACTGTCTCTGGCAACATTACTGCCCTGTTGGACAAAGCCAGCTTTCCCCTAGAAACAAACCAGGAGTTATCAGACATATAAAATGGGTTCAAGGCACGTGATGATGGAGTCCGAGATAGGCATGTTTGGTTCTGCAAGCCATCTGAGAGCTTGGGGGTGGGTGCTGAAGTTCCATTTTGAATGTTAATGCTGAGCAGAATTGGGGGCTTATTTCAAAAGTAGGCAACTTCGTCCTCTCCAGATGGACTGCAACTTCCAGAAATCATAGAAAGGATGGCCAATGGTCAGAGATTATGGAAAGTTTTAATATAAAGCATCTGCTGGACTCCTGCATGCCTACCTCTGGTTTATTTATTGCCAGCTGTGCACCAGTCACCTGTGAGCAGGAGCCTGCATGCCTACCTCTGGTTTATTTATTGTGTTTATTCAGAAGGTCATAAAACTAATCTTCTAGGCATTGATCTGTAGTTGTTGTGCCAACTGTGCACCAGTCACCTGTGAGCAGGATAGGGATGGAATGCAAGGCGCACCAGAATGAGAGGATCTGCTCTGTACTCTATAATGGGGATCAAAAATATGTTGCCTGAGGCTGAATGCAGTCCCCTCTCTGGCCTTCCGGAGCTCCAGATGTCTCACAATATTTTAAATGCTTTTCAAAGGGGAGATTTGACAAGCATTCTTTATGCCCCCTGAGGGGTGGAGGCAACATTGCCATGTTTTGAGGAATTCCCAGCACTCACGGGAAGGGCCGCACACGCTGAAAAAAAAATTTTTTTTTAAATGTCCACTAGGAGGCACAAGGAATTTTTTTCTGTATAAAAGAAACCCAACTTTAGTAAGAAAAAAAATTAATGTGGTCACAGCAGGAGGTGCTGCCTCTAAAGTCAGAGATGGATGTGGGTAGAGCCTGGAAATTGCCCTGCTGTGTAACCTCTGTGACTGTCAGTCATAGACACCATTGGATGTGGAAGCATTAAGAATCTCTTTGCTAAGGTTGGAATGGGCAGCTCCAGAGCTGGGGGAAAATTACTTTTTTGAATACCACTTCCACAATTACCAGGAATCACACCAAAGAAGGAACTTTTCTAAGTTCTTGAACGTCTTAGCTTCAGTGTTTCCTGTCCAGTCAAGGCCAGGAACATAGCAGTGTGAATACATCTGTCTACTAGACTGATGGTTTCCTGCCATGTGGCACATGTTGCATTTTCTGGTCTGTAGTTTTTCCGTTACAGTTAACCACAACGATTCACATTTAAGTGATGCAACAAGCTGCAGTTAGTCTAAGCCAGAAACAAGGAGTTCCAAAGTCCTCCATATTAGAGGGGGAGAAACAACAGGAAGTTTGAGGTTCTCATCATGCTGAACTTGATGTGAAAACTGAACACAGTCATGCTGTGTAATTCTGAATTATCAGTGTAGCTTGAACACTAACGTGTGCATTTTCACATTAGGGTATACATATAGTTTCTTGTAAGGCAGCTTTTCCCAGTCTGGTGTTCTGTAGATGCTTTGAACCACAACTTCCTGGTCAAGCTCCCTGGAGCTGATGGCTGCTGCAGTTCAAAATGTCTGAAGGATACCAAGCTTGTGAAGGCTGCTATAGTGAAGTATACAGATAAGCATGCGGCTGCATAGTGAGTTTTCATAGTGCCTTGCAGCCTCCCCCTGCAACTTGAGTATTCAATTAATACCTGTAAGGAAATTGTATAATCTTTTCCAGGCACAAAGCGATTCACATCTGCATCCCAAAGCTCATTGAAAATCTTGGAGAGTTCCCGATTCAAAGGTTGCCTACAAATAAACAAAGGGAATGATCAATTTGAGAAAAGACTGTAATCAACCAGAACTCTGAAAGGAAACATCAGATACAACCTATTCAGTCATTTAAAACATGGTAAGTGTGGAGGAGTGAAGGGGGCTTATCAGCATACCTGACTGCATGAAACTCAATAATTATGTTAACTCAAACACAATTATCTTTCCACTGTGAAGCATACTTAAACTGCAGGGGCAGAAGATGGAACCAGACAGCCCTCAGGATACCTCCAAAATCTATGGTTCTCCTTTTTTTATGCCCCTTACCTTTCCAGTAAATATTGAAAGACTGGAGACATGGGAGTGTGGCTGTGCTCTCCTCCACATTTAGAATTGTTTCAACAACCTAACAAGGGCTAAATTAAAGCCAATTCCTGGCTTAAGGAGAAAGGTGATGGTTCTCCGTTGGTCATGCTGAGTCAGGGATTCTAGTAGTTACAGTTTTTTTTTTTCAAAAAAAGTAACTTTTCCAAGCTCTTCTGCACATAGACGTCAGGAGCTGAATGACTCAAAGAGACAGACTCAGTGGGACAATATTGACACCCCTACCCCCACCTAATAGTACTGGCATATGGATTTTGCATTTCATTTCATGCAAAATGAAAGGAAAACATCCATAGCAGCTCTGATTGGCCAATGGGGAGTGGGGGTTCCCTGATGGCCTGGTATTGGCTGGGGGGGGGTCTAAACAGTGCAAGTGGAGAGTTTTCTCCCTGGTCTGCATGCCCAGCTTAAAAGCCGGTGGGCACAGCCACCCACTGTCCTGTCTGCTGCTCACTAGCACCCATCCCCTTCTTTTATTTCCCTCACTCCCTCTTTTACATGAGTGGCAGAATGTGCTGTTATTGGTTATTGCATAGGTTGCCCGGGGGATGGTTGTGATGTTTGCACTGCAATATGTGTGTACACTCAATCTTGTCACAACTTTGTTGGCAGTTTGGGGCATGGAGGTTGGATCCAGACAGCTTAAGGGCAAAGACAGGAGTCTACTTGCCTAGAACAGTTAAAGAACCTCCCTGTATGGGGAGACTGGAGCAGGGCCATGGTCTGTTCCAGCTTAGGAGCCTGCAGGCCCATCCCTTGCCCCAGGTGTATGAGAATCATGGAGCAGCAGACACACATGTAATTTCCAGAAAATGGCTACTTCTGGTGGAACCTTCAGCAGTTGCTGAAGTGAATGGTGGCTGGCATCAGATGGCAATCGACCCAAATGATGGCCAGGGACTGCTGCTGTAGCCAAAAAAGTTGTGGCCTTTCCTACAAAAAATTGTCTATATAGTATTTGTAGTTTATAAAGCCCTCGGGAGAGCCTGCTCAACAATAGGCCAGCAGAAAAACTAGCAGTCTCTTTTTGATATTTTCAGACGTTAGCACAGTACACTTGATATCTTATGGCATCTAACATAGCATTGGTTGTTGTGAGTTTTTCGGGCTCTTTGGCCCTGTTCTGAAGGTTGTTCTTCCTAACATTTCACTAGTCTCTGTGGCCAGCATCTTCAGAGGACAGCACTCTGTGCTCTGGTGTAGTTGGCTTGGGAGTATAGTTGGCTCCACTCCCAAGCCAACTACACCAGAGCACAGAGTGCTGTCCTCTGAAGATGCTGGCCACAGAGACTGGCGAAACGTCAGGAAGAACAACCTTCAGAACACAGCCAAAGAGCCCGAAAAACCCACAACAACCATTAGATCCCGGACGTGAAAGCCTTCGCGAATAACATAGCATTGCTAGGATGTTTCTAGGTAGAATGAAAACACAACATGCTTCCTTGGGGGAGGGGAGCTGTTGCTGTCATTTCCTTGAAGAGTTTGAAATCAAATCCAATTTTAAAACTCTAATTATAACAAAATATTTTAAAATTCTAAGTCCTGTCTCTGAGGAAGAGCCATCAACCACTCCTGCTTCATGGCTGTAGATTTGCCAAGTGCCCTGTGCCAGATACAGTTGTGCCTCGCTTGATGATTACCTTGTTAGATGAGGAAATCGCTTGATGAAGAAGTTTTAATAGGCAAAAATTGTTTAACGATGATCAGTTCCCTGCTTCGGGAACCGATTTTTCACTTAACGACCATCTTTACAGCTGATTGTCGGGTATTCAAAATGGCCGCCTGCTGTTTAAAATGGCTCCCTGCTGTGTTTTCAGATGGATTCCTGGCTTTACAGGCACCAAAAAGGGCTGCCCTGTGGAGGATCTTCGCTGGACGCTGAGGTATTTCACCCATTGGAACGCATTGAACCGGTTTTCAATGCATTTCAATCGGCTTTTTCATTTCGCTTGACGAGGATTTCGCTTAACAGCAATTTGAATGGAACGAATTATCCTCATCAAGCGAGGCACCACTGTACATCTGCAAGTATTCCTGCAGCTGCAAAAGCCTGCTAAGGAGGGGCTTCTGTATATCTGAAAGAGAGCCTGGAGAAGCTTCTTCTTTTGGACTACAACTCCAAGGCTCCACCAGGCATCAGGGCTCCTCCTAGCTGCAGGATTTTGAGAAATATAGTACAAGAAAGTGCACTCCCCCCCAAAAAAAAAACTCTGATCAAACAATAAAAGATTTTAATGAAGGAAAGATATTGCCACCAAGGTCACATGGTTGACACTCATTAACAGGTTGAGCTATCTGTTGAAATTTGCTAGACTCACATGAGGAGGTATGTTTCCTGCAAAGTCATTTATATTAGAGAACTGGAAAGACAAAGGCTTAAAAAAAAGATCAAATGTGCTTGAACTTTCTTAGTTGTTAGCTCCTTTTCTTTGGCTCAAATTCCTCATCATAGGCATCCTTCTGTCTCGAGAGACTATGGTAACGTGCTCTGTACGGAGGACTTGGAACAGCGTCTAGTGTTTTGATGCTGTACGCAAAGCTGGAGTGTCCTCTCCAGGGCATGTAGCTTGAGTAAAATAATATGGAGGATAGGCTGTTGCCCAACCAGCAAATCCCCCTCTCCATGTCACTGAAATAGTCCAATGGAAAGGCAAGCGCCAGTACAACTGGTTTCAGCGATGTCACAGGAGTTGACATAATGACACGTACTGCCTCCGGGACTCCGGCTCTGGATTTTGCCTCGAGGTTAACTCCTGAAGCCTTTTCCATCGGTGGATATAGCCACAAGGTAGTGGAGGTTTGAAGTCAGAGTTTTCCTTCTCCTAGATGGGCTGCCTTCCAGGACTGAACGAGTTCCATCTACCCGGCCTGTTCCCTCACGGCATAGAGGACAATGGCAAATACTAGTCTCATGTTCGAAATGGAGGTAAAAAGCACATGGCAACTACCAACCAGTAAGATAACAGGAAAGGTATCAGAATAGATCACAGAATAGATCACTCTTTTCTATTTCTATTATAATTCAGTTACAAACTCTCTATAAAGAGAACACTGCCCTTTAATAGCACGAACCAAAGAAATTAGTGACAATTCCCTGAGGAGCCAGGAGCCCCACTATGACATGTGGAAAAGTTAGGCTATTTAGCCTTAGGCAAGCTACTATTTCATGATGCTTTACACGTTCAGATGGAGCTTAAAAAGTTCCAATTGTGGGGGTTACCTAACTTAATGTCTATTGCTGCAGACCTTGTCAGCTTATTGAGGAGCAGATGTACTAAACTCCATTTAGATTTTTTGACTAAAGCTTCCAGAATTCCA